TAAACATAAAAGAAGGAAAAAATATTTGTATTGACACAGCCACCTTGATAATTTTTTCTAATGTTTTGTTAGGAACAATTACCCATTGAATTACACAGTCTTTACAATTCTTTTTCAAACATTTATTAGATGTATCAACCACATATAAACAGCGCATAGAATAGCTCTGCATTTAAAACCGGTCACCGTTATAGCAGTGCCAGGCACCTTAACCACTACACTACACTTTAAATTCTACACTCAATTTAATCAACTAATATAGCTAAAATGGCATAATATTGATAGAATAGAATAGCACGATAGATTGTTGATGCAGGCTTTTGTATATTTATTTGATAAAACAAATAGTTGAGGATAACAACATCTTTCTACTCTTTCTAAGGATATTACCATTTCGCAAGCTGTTTACACACACACGTACACACGCACACAAATACACACACGATCTCACAGGGTTTTCTGTTGTCGTGATAACGTGAATAAAACTGAACACACCCCGCTGTTAAACAAATAACAATAAATATATTTCTCGAGAATTCTTGTTAATAGGCAATATTTCTATTTAAAGTCAATGCGCAATCAACCGACGATACGTGAAAGTCTCTCTAGCTAGGCTATAAAATATTTAATTATTTTATCAATTATGTGACGTTAACAATAAATGATAACTCAGTTAACAATATTATGTTCATATGATGTCGATTGTAAGTCAAATGATATGTTAAAATTTCAAATCTTGAAAATGTTCCTTAAATATGTACATTCTACTGAAGAAATAGTACTTGACAACTAATAGGAGCAGTCATTATTTTGTTGCTGAACATAAATCAAGCATGATGGTACGATACACGAGGCGTGTTTAAATGACATGCTGCAAAAACAGACCACACAATATCGATTTATTTAAGCCAACCTAAGCACATGAGATATTTCTGCCTGCTGAACTGTTTTTCATGCCATGGTTGGTTGTGTGGGAAATCATCTTTCTCATGATGATCTCACTATAGAGATTGTACAGTTCTGGAGAGAATACACAGCCTTGTCTAACACTGTTTTATATTTATTTATTGTTTTTCAAAATAAAAATACACATCATGCACTAAGAGACGCAGCACACGAAGCATTTTTTTGATTTTTTTATTTTATCCCAGTTATTTTTCATTTTGAATTAAATTTTTTGCAGATTGTTCAACGAGTGAAGGCTTCTGCATCAAACTGTTCTGCGTCATCAGACTGGATAATTCTTGTAAGGAGAAACATTTCAAACTAGTTGGTTGGGGGTTGGCCATGGTTCGTTGGAGGTCGTTCCATGGTAAACTGTGATGGGACTTCAAAGCAGTCAGAGCGTCTCACACCAACAAACTTGCCAACATGGAAACAAACAAGGGGGCTCCAACCAAACGCTGCTACTAATGTTTTATCAGTCTATATTTCATGTAGATATGTTTGTTTTAAATCTGAATTTTAAAAAAATTGTTAATCGCTGTGTTTTTCTTTTTTCAATAAAATCTCGAAATAGTTCGTAGATATGTATGATTAAATAAATGTTTGTATGCGCTTCAACAAACCCTGCAAATATCTTGTCTGATTAATAATATATGGATGAATGAATGAATGAATGAATTAATTAATTAATTAATTAATTAATTAACGAATCAATAAACAAACGAACGAACAAACGAACAAATTAATTAAATCTTAAGCTGCCAATAAATTTTTAAATAAAGAATAATTAAAAAAAAACTCGTTCAATTCGTTCAAAGCGTTCTTTTATATAATTCAGATAATTCTCTACTGTTCAGAAGACATCAAAACTGGAAGATGATGGTGGTCGGTGGGTTTTACAGTGCTGTTGAAAAGTTTAGTACTTCTTTTGCGTTTGTTGGTTTGTTTCTTCATTCACTCACTCATTCATTTAGAGAAAGAGAGTGTGTGGTGTGCGGGTAATGTAAGAAGTAGTAACTTCCGGTGTTGGCCAAGGTTGGAAATCAAAAGATTTGAAATGGTTATTTAATTACTTAATCGTTATATTTGATTTGAAACGTAGTCTTTGATTTTGGTTTTTATTTTAAATCAGCATTCACGAAATTTAAAACTGAAAATAATTGTAATGAAATTAATAATAACAAAAGTGATAATCAAAATTTCAGTAACAATGCTGTAATAATCCTTATTCAACGAGTTTGTATACTTACACCAACTTACATTACTTACATTTACACACACACACACGCACACATAGGCACAAACATTCACACATACATAAGTACGTACATGATGATCATGAACTAACAAAATACCGAAGAAAGGACAAACCTTGACATTTAAAAACTGTTTAATTTAACTTCATTGCGATATTAATGATGATGATTGTGACTAACTATAAAAGCGCATCAAAAAATATTTTTAACTATTTTACTTAAATACTTAAAGATACGGCGAAGATTATGATTTTACAAAAACACGGCGGTACTATAGTAAATGTAATTAAAACAACTTGCGTATCAAGGTAAGTATTTACGGACCATTGAAGGGTTAGCGGCAACCGCTGTTCTATAGGAATATTTCAATGCATGCTAGGCAAGCAAAAGCTATACATTTTAATCGGAGAATATATTCCAACATTCATCATGTTCTTGATATACTAGAACGTGACTTTTTACAAATTTCGAAAACTCAATGTGTATCTAAAAATTATCAAAACATTTAATTTTATTTGATGTTAACACGTTATTTTTTTTTAAATTAAAAAATACAGCAAACATTTTTGCAAAATAAAAATGCATGCATAAACTGTATACACACATTCAAAAGCACACACAACATACCCAAAATAAATAATTCTTGTTCCGTGGACGCGAAGTGCATGCATCGCAAGCGTTTTCAAAAGTGCTGACAAGAATTTCTTGCACACGTATTTATTTATATCTAAAATGCATTTATAAGTTGAATATTTGAGCGGAGCCTAGTTCTTTTGCAACCGTATCGACTTCAATTAACGCGATCCCCGAATCTGCGCTGCAGCACAACTAAACATAGTTTTATATAGGTTCTGTGTTTCTGAAAAATTAAAAGTCATTGGTTTAGCTTTAAACACTTTTTAGTCAGTGAGAAAATTAACTTTAGTAGCAAAATCAAGCATTATATAAAAAACAATTTTGTATTTGTTCCTTCGTTCGAGTAAAGAGCAAAGACGGCAACAACGTTTATCAAATTTGAAAAAAGTCAATCAATCAATCATTCAGTCATCGTAGAACAAACATGTAAAATTTGTTTGCTCGTTTAAGTTTTTTATACGATCCTTCTCACACACAGTTAAACGGAGGTAATGATTCACGACGACGAAATTTTCACGCTCCCGCTTTAATGATTTCGTCTATCACGCCAATAATCACAACTAAATTTTACACTGATCTATTTCCATTTCACATGAAAGCCATCACCCAGATATGTTGCTTGTTATATAACACTATTGCACATTAAACTTCCGCATAAACCATAAGACCTGAGCAAAACAAATGACCCTGGGTTGCAGAAATTAATTTCTTGTCAATAAATAACCCATCCATCAAACGTATTAATAATTCACTCATAGCTATAAAATTATCAATATTTTGTTGTCTACGAATTCGGTGTATTGTTTCTCGCTGTTTTGCATGCTTGTATCATTTTCTTACGTAACGTAAGGCATCGACTATTTTTAGCACCGTATCGCAAATGTTATTCTTTTCTTTGGATCGTTAAATTTAGCATTTAATTATAGATGTTGGTTTTAACGTAGAACTTTGTATTTAATAATACAAAATGAGACCGAATATTTTAGTTGTCTAACTAACACCGTTTAACTAATTTATAATTCATTTTATAATTACATTTAAATTTGCCCTTATTTTTTCTCATATATCTCCAAATCTTGCTACTTACTGGCTACTTATAAAATATAGAATAATTTTTTAAATTTAAAAATTAATCTACAAATTTCAATCTAAAATATTTTTTAAGCACTTAACAGATATATCGATTAAACCTAATAGCCTCGGTTTCCGATCGTCTTCCTGTTCTCACTTTTTCTTAACTCGTGTTGCTACTAAATCTGCGTTTGCTTTTTCTGGTCCTATTATCTGGAAGTCTCTACCTCATTCTCTCACTATTTCTCCATCAATTGCGAAGTTCAGAGCGGATCTCAAGACCTGTCTGTTCATAAAATTCACTAAGGAGCGCTGTTGAACATCGCGCCATTTACAAGCTAATTAGTTTATACATGACTCGACCCAAAAAATACAATAAGCCATGGGTTATATCGAAGCTGCTATTCTTTTGAAAAGTTCACCAAAGCAGAACTCTCGTTTCGTGTTAAGTTGGGTGTTGTAGACACCAAGATCTTTGTAGTTTCAGCAATTGAAAATAACTCAACTTTTCAAGAGTTAAAAAAATAACGAGACATCAAAAACATTAAAGGGCTGGACAATCTTAACTATATATATATATTGCAATTATCATTTAGACTATTCAGAAAACTATTGACGTTGAAATTTGACCACTCTGGGTTTTCTAAATTCGTATAATTGAAAATATTGAGAACATTTAAAATTGAAATAAGCTGCAGTTATTTAACATTAAATGTACAAAACGAAACAACTAGAAATATATATTATCGCTTCATTACAACAGCACTTTTCAGTTTCGTCGACTGACTAGACAATTTTTTGCGAAGCTCTTCACGTTCTTTTTCTTTTCTCTTTTCTTCCATGAGTTTGAAATTTTTTAGAATTCGTTTTCTAATTTCTTGCTCCTCCTTCTCCAGCGATTCTTTTTTCTTTCTTTCCATTTCTAAACGAGCTTTCTCTTGTTCTAAAAGTTTTTGTTTTTCTCTTTCAACTTGCATTCTTCTTTCATCTTCAACTTCTTTTTCCTTCATCAAAGATTCTTCGTGCTGCTTTATGATCTATAAGAATAAATTAAAAAATTAAATAAAATTTGAAAACATAGAATAATTCTATCTAACAAAAACTCACCTTAATTCTGTTGAACAATTCGGAAAGCAATCTGATGGTTTCGAGTTTTCGTTGCGCAATAAGTATTTTTCGTTCCTCGAGAGCGATCCTCATCTGCATTCTTTTTTCCTCCTCGACTCGTTTTTTCTCCATCTTCCTTATCTTTCTCCGCTCCTCTCTCACTTGCTGTCTTTCTCGTCTCAGTCTTAATTTCTCCTCTCTTTTCTTTTCCCTTTCCTGCTCTTCTTCTTCTTGTTTACGACTGTAAGATGTCAAATTTAATTCATTCAATGCTCCAGCTGATTAAATTTATTAATTCAAAAACTTAATCACAAATAGCTATCTCGGTTATGTAAGAAATAAGTTTTTGCTGAGCAATTAACAATTTGTATGACGTTGCGTAGACAGTGGCGCATATTTTTGCAATCGTTTTTAAATTCAGCCAAATTATATCGTTCAATTACTTTTGATAAGTTAAAGATATTGCAGCAAGGAAGAAAAACTGAGCATAAAATTAAAAATTAACCAACAGCAATTCTTCTTTCAGTTTTAGTTCTCGGAGTCTTTCTCGTTCCAGAGCTTCCTCTTTTTCCCTTTCAGATTTATGAAATCTCTCAATTTCTATTTTTCTTTTTCTTATTGATTTTTCACTCAAATGTTTTGTTTTATCAAAATCAACCTGGTAAATGATATTGAATTAAAAGTCAAGACCAATAACTCATTTTGTCAATGTCAAACAAAGTCATCTATATCATCAAAGCAAAGCGAGGAGTTCTATTTAATTTATTTTATTTAAATTATTACTTAATTTAATTTCTTATTAAATAATAATTTTTCATATAAATTTTCCATATGACATAATCACATAACCAAGCCAAAAAGATAAATTTAAACATCCAATCCCCAAAAAAGTAAATTTAGTTTAAATAAATGAATAAACTAACTTTTATGTATGCTGTGAGAGACTTGTTTTCTGATTCTTTAAAAAGTAACTTCATTCCTCTGAACGCCATCATTGCTTTCTCAAAGCTTAAATACTCTTTATATTGGATGAACACTTCAAAAAGAAAATCTTGCCCAAATGAAAATGTTTTGATAGCTCCTTTAGCAGACGACAAGTCTTTGTTGCATGGATTCAAAATAGGGATGTCTAATGCATTGATTCTACCAAATGTTTCAAAAACTTTTCTTACAATAAATTCGTTTGGGATGTCTTTTTCGATTTTGTTGGCAAACCACCTGCATGGAAGATCTTTCACATGCACGGTGTCTGGTCTCTCTCCAGCCTTCATTTCATCCATGTCTTTCGCATCTCTGAAAAAGGAATCCCAATCGTGCCTTGTTGGACCCTGTGTTTTTGCTTCTGCTGCTTTTACCTTTAACACTTCTGTGAAGCCACTCAACTTTATTGTTTTGTTTTCTAACTGGTTCAACATGAATTTTAATCGACTTTTACTTTCAACTTCACCTTCAAATCGTACAAATTCCAAAGTTGTTTTAGCCACTTTCAAAACCAAAAATTGCTCCGGTTTTATCATCTTTTTCAATTTTTCCATAAGTTCCCAATTGGATATTGACTGGCCAGGAGATTTCATTGCTGGTAACTGTACACTTATATTTAATTTAGCTATTGGTTTAAGATAGAGACCATGAGGGGAGAATAATTCTACAGCTTCTGACGTGTCAACACAAACACCAAATAATGCCATGACTTTCAATTGACTACTGTCTAGTAAACAAAAACATTTTTGTCAAATTATCTTCTTAACAAAATGAATTACAAAATTATGAATAAAAACAGGTTTTAAATAATACCTTAAACTATTACTTAATTAAATCAAAAATAATAATACCAAACATCAGCTGTAGTTTAAAAAAATAATAACCACTCAAACAATAGATTTTCTTTCCGCCACATAATTAAAAAAAGGAATATTGAAATCTGGAACTATTTGAAATTGAGAGGTGCAAACAGTTGCTGAGACAAAGAGAAGAGAAACATTTTCATGAAAAATTAGTTTGGAAAACAAAAACTTTTCACATAAAAGTGAGAAAGTTTGGAATCTTTGAGTAAATTTAAAAAGAATGCCAGGCATGATATGAGAAACCTATAACTAATGATAATGACAAATCTAGTTGAAATAGTATGATCAGTAGACAGTAATAAGAAATATAATGAAATTACAGAAGAGAAATTGAATAAGAAAATTAATTAATTTTTAATTACGTGTAACAATAGGGTGTGAAAATGTTTTTGTTTAAAATTTAACAGCGACTTCTGCCACACAAAACGAGCATTTCACATTTCATCTTTTAACTTTGTTAACACGAAATGATGACATTTTTTGATTTTTTACTGGGACTACCTCTATAGATTTAAATAACTAATATCTTTAAATTTTTATTATTTCAAAATTTATTTAATAAACGTTAATAACAATTAAATTGAATAAAACAAAATAAAAAAAGCTTTTTATTTATTTCTAAAAATGTATGCTTTTGCCTCTATCTATAAGTAATAAATTTGTTTTATTAATAAACTTTATAATGTACAAAATTATTTTAAATAAAATACCTTTTCTTCAAGCTATGCAAGAATGAAAGAAACTTCTTAAGAATCTTCTTCCGTCTTAATTTAACTAAGTTTTTAAATTATAAAATTCAAAATTAACAAAAATTTTAGTAAAGGTGTACAATTCAGAATACTATTTTTACATTAAGAGTGTAAATAATTTTAAAAATAAACTTAGATTAATAATTAAAATATGCACTTAGAAAGTGTCAGATTAATAAAATTTGAAACGAGTCACGATAAAGGTTAGCATTAGGGCCGGGATTAAAGTTGGTGAAAGCAAAATACCTTTAACTTTAACATTTAATTTAAATATTTGAGCATTTAAAAATGAAGAGCTTTAGTAACGAATCACTCGTTTTCTATGTATATAGTTTGTCATAAATATAAAGTATAATTACCCTTGCTTGCCTTATTCAACCCCTAACTATTATGTAAAAAAAATGTAATTTTATGCCCATTAATGATTAACGTTAAAAGAGTTCATCAAAGTATATTTTCATGCTCACCAATGTTGAAGATACTTTTAAAACCTACCATGCATAATCACATTACACTATTGATATTATTACACCGAAATACCAATCCATCTTTCTAAAAAAAACATTTCCATTGTAAATATTAAATATCCTACTGCCTACTCTATTTCAATTTATTTTAATTTTTAAATGTCCTAAATTATGTGTTTATTATTCCAAGTATATGAAACTAACAATCTAATTTTTACTATTATTAATCTAAGTTCACTTTTAAGTCTATTACTAATTTTAATAAAAAAAATAATTGCATGGGTAGTCTGACTTGTATACCTTTGCCAAATTTTTTTATAAATCTTATTATCACAATTTAAAAACAAGTAACAACAATATGTGATATAACTAATATATTTTATTTATTAATTTTAAATTAATTAAATACATAAAACAAAAAATTAAATATACAAACTGAACTGAACAACTATTAAGCTTTCAACGAATTTATTTGATTGTACTGTTGAAAAGTGGAAGTAGATTCTAAATATTGAAATATCGTTTATGGATATATATCAATCATACATATACATATATATAGAATACATCACTGTATTTATCAATGTATATATTTTATATTTATGCAATCATATAACTCAATGGTATCGTCATTTACTTTAGTTACAGATACAGCCCTCGAACGCAGTCGCGTTTATTTTTAGCGCACTTTAAATTTGGTTTTATTTTTTAGTTTTTATAACAATTATTTATCAAATTTTACAAAATTTATTTTTTTTAGTTATAAATTTTTAAATTATCGCTTTTTCTATTTACCTCATTTATGTTATTGCAATCTATGCCATCCAGTTTAACAATGATATTCTATACGAAATAGCCCATTCAAAACCTAATATATATGTCTTTAGTGTCGGACAGACAATATTCGAACCTCGAAACCGCGTGAGACCTGGTACTTTTATTGACTTGAATGTTGAATATAATGACATAAGTACATCCCGATCAATTTACAATTTTATTTCTCTAGCTCAAATCTTACGAAAAAGCTAAATGGCCATTGAATATTTTTTAACAGATTAACTTTTAAATGCCTATTCTTTGCTTATTTTGAGCGACGATTGAGTTATCTTGCCGTTTATTTAATTTTGAGATTTTTGTTGCACATGTATTGAGTTTTGTTTTTTATTACAATCAAATTGTGCAAATTTTAAATTTAATCTTTGAATTTAATCAAATTTTGACCAATGGGTGATACTACCAAATGTGATTATGAGCCTGGGTGCATTTCTAAATTTTTGACTAGAAACTCTGCCTCTGGCAATCATAATGACCATGATGGTGGTGTCAAGTCAGATGTAGTTAGCAGTTTGTTCAAGAAAGAATACCAAAATAATGCTGATAAGGTGGGTGGGTTGATTGATCTTATTTGCCCATGTTTTGGCTTAGGTATTACCAAAATTTGGCTTTGGCCAATTGTCCAAAAAAGTTTAGCCATTTTTTCAAATTCAGCTCCTGTCAAAATCAAAATGTTGGACAGAGATTCGGATTTGAGCTGAATTTTAGAGAAAAAGTAACAGTTTGAACTTGAAATTTGTTTATGTGGGATGTATGCATGCAAGTGACTGCAGTTCGTAGCCTTTGCATTTTATGTAACTTTTTGTTTCTTAGTCTTGGTTAATCATTTGTTTTTCCATTATGTTTCTATTAATGAATTGCCAAATAAATAAGTTAAAGCTATAAACCTTAAGACCTTGTTTTTGATGACTTGGAAAATTAAATTAAAAATTTTTTTATTTTGTTTGAATAATTAATATTCCTAATATAATAAAGAGTATGATGGACGAATGTGAGCCATCATTTATTCTAAGATGAAGATGAATTAGTTTTGGTATTGAATTGTTGGCTTCAATTAAGAGGTCTGATGCTTTCTAACTACACATTGTTAACATATCTGTCATGCCTTATAACATAAAATTTGATATGCTACCTAATTATCTTAATGCTCATGTTATTATCTTGGCAATGTACTAAAAATTCAAACATTACTTTCAAAATAGAACAAGAATTTACAAATTTCAAAAAGGACCAAACCTAAAAAAATTCCCGAAAATGCAAGGTTTTAAATCAATTTTTTAAAATCTTTTTCAATTTACTTTTTTTTGTTTTCCTTTTTCATTTGATTTAAATTTTATTGCTTCAAAAATAAGAGTTATTTGCTGTTGTTAATTGAGTTGAAGAGTTTTGTTTCTGAAATGGTTTTACTCATTTGTTTCATGTGAGTTTGCTATTTAGTTTTTAAAATCAACATTTACTAATAAAGTTGCTTAATCAACATCCAACAAATTTGTATCTACTTCAATATTTCAAAGGAAAATAAATGTTAATGACAATCAACTATCAAATGCACAAAAGAGAATTCTGAGCAAGCCATTCTTGAAGGAACAAAAAATTCAAAACCAGAGAACTGTATTTGTTGGTAACGTGTCCCTAAATTCAACCAAAAAGGTGCGTTCTTGGGTGAATGTAAAATTTGAATCAGTTAAAAAATAAAATGAAACCAAAATATTTGTGACTATATTTTTTTTCCTAAGTTGTTATAAATTGATTAATTAATATTTTTTCAGGATCTTGAAAATCATTTCAAGTCCTGTGGGAAAATTGAATCAGTTCGTTTAAGATCAGTGGTAAGTTTGTCTTATATAAATAATTATTATAAATTTACCTCAAAAAAATTGCTAAATTTTTTTTTAAATTTAAAATTGTAACAGCCTATTGCATCCTTGGAGAAGCCTAAGAAAGTATTGGTTATAAAGTGAGTAGTTAATTGAATTTCTATTCATTTTTTTCATTAACATTTTTGTTCAAATGCGAAGGTCATTATCTTAATCTAATGTGGTCTTGAGTTGACTTCAAAGATGATTTGCAATCATGAAAATTAACAGTTGCCATTCTTTTCATGCTAGGACAATTAATTGTTTATTATTATCTTAACTTCATAACTGTTTATTATTATCTTAACTTCATATCTTAACTTATTATTATTATCTTAACTTCATATCTTAACTTGCGTGATACTGAGGTGAGTGACAGATGTGGATGGCGTCGAGGGGTATTTCGGTTTCATCATAGGTAGCCAAACGGCAACCCCCGATCTCGGGGAAAATGTCGTCTAAATAATAGGTTAGGCTTCTTTGTGTTTAGTTGGCCATCCATTAAACATAATATAGGGTGCATCTATCAACACAAAAATTAAAAGACTGATTGAGTTATTACTTATGTTCCTGATGTGAATTAATATGTTGTAGAATTGTTTTTAGTAACTTGTAAAAAGTGCCTTGTTGAGTGTGAGAGTGAAAGCTTATGCACAAGAATTGTAATCAATTGTTGCTGCTAGGAACCGACTGCAAAATGACATCCGAATGAAATGAGGCAACGCCCCTTTCAGTCCCTGTTTGCTTAAATGAACCAGTTTCTCAGTCTGGAATATGTAAACTAAAAGATTGATAACACCACAGTCCGTCAACGTTAATTTCTCAATAGGACAATTAATTAACATTATTAAAATTTAGCACGAAAAGGAAAAGGAGTGAAGGATGCTTAACTCGAACCAAACATTGAAAATAGCGAAATTTTCAATATAAAACGTATCATCATCTTTCATTTATAAACGTTTAAATTATTGCGCAGGAAGGATTTTCATCCTAAACTCAAAACTTCAAATGCTTATATCGTCTTTCAAGATGCTTACTCTGTTTCAGAGGCTCTGAAGCTGTTAGTTGCTTTTCTATTTTTTATATTTTCTATGAATTATTATATATTACGTTTGTACAATATATTTGTGCTTAGGTGTGTACATTCGCCAAAAGCTGAAAATATTTTTTATTTATTATCCATATAGATAGATTGATGTATCTCACAGTTTGGCAAATCATTTATTATCTCTCTCTTACTTTATTTCTTTATGATGTGCACTCTAAAATAACATGAACCATTTACTTATTTATTTAAAGAACTGGGAAACCAGAAGTTATTACAAACTTGTACGGTCTCCGCAAGTGCACAAAGCGATATAAATATACATACATATACAAAATATGTATACATGCATTTACATACACTTAATTATGTTCCAGGAGGATGCATAGCATATAATAGTGTCAGTCACAAAAGTGTATCAGAGAAAAAAATAAAATGAAATAAATTAACAAAGAAGTCTTACTTAGATAGTGAAAATGAATGATGGAATACACATTACAGATTGACTGTAGGTGGATAAGAGTAAATTAGAGAAGGTATATAACAGAAAAGTAGTAAAATGAAAACAAATTTTAACAAATAATGAAATTAAGTGGGAGATAATTCAATGGAAGCAATAAAAGCAGTTGGGATGATGAAAATGAAATGCTTAGAAAGGATGTAATACATACATAGGTGTCTAAAAAATATATAAAGAAAGAAAGGAGATATAAATGCCGTAAATGTTCAGAAGGAATGAGTAGAAAGGGTTCAAATAAAGTATGCAAATGAGATTCCCTTAAAATGTTTAATGAAAAAGAAAAAAGAGAAAGTCTTAGAGTGTATAGTTGGTTGATAGTTAGAAACTTAGCTATGACAAAGGAAGGGCTTAAACTATTGGATTTCTTAACATGAGAGGCAGGACTATTGTCCCAAAGTGAGACACGGTAGATTAGGTACGGGTAGATAAGTGAATAGTAGAGCAGCTTTATGATGTGATTGGGAAGTTTAGTCTTTAGTTTATAAAGAATACCAAGAGTTTTAGAAAGTTTAGTTGCTGAAAATTGGATATGTGCCAACCAAAAAATTATCAGAAGTTATGTTTGGTCCTAAAAATTTAGGTAAAGGTGGAAAGCCATTGTTACACTGAGGACCGAACTTATTGACTAGCATGTATGGTTTGAAAAGGCATTCAACCCTTATTTGATTTAGAGTTATTTATTCATTTGGTTTAGAGTAATTTATTCATTCATTGTCGTGCAGAAACAACATGGAACTGGATGGATTTCATTTAAGAGTGGATAGTGCATCCAGCAAAACAGTTCGTTGTTTTCTTCATTTAGTTATATTTTACTATTGCAATTGTTTATAATTGCCCATCAACTTTTATATTTATTCTTTGAATGCATGACAACTTCATTCATTGTCTTTATTTACTTAGATTTCAACTCATTATATTTTGATTAATGTCAACTACCACAGTTTCTGCCATGTTTGTTAAGTGGTGATTTTTATTAACTTTTAATTTTTATTTGTTAGCACCAAAATAAGTCGTCCATTTTCATTGGAAATCTACGTTTTGGTTGGTCGTTTTTTCTAATGAAATTTTTGAAAATAACGTTTAATTAATATTAATTTTTCAAATGAAGATGCTGATGAAGAAAGTTTGAGGAAATTTTTTGAAGTTTGCGGTGAAATTAACTATGTTCGAGTTGTTAGAGATAAGTACACGAGAATGGGCAAAGGTTTTGCTTATATTAATTTCAAGGTAAGCCATTACAACATTTTCCATTGTTCATCATGTACATGACATCACATTAGCCATCATTTGGATAGTCTTATTTCAACTTTTTTTTGTTTAGGACTCATCTTCAGTTGATTTAGCGTTAACAATGGATGGTCAGGAATTTTGCAACAGACCTCTGAGAATTAACAGATCCATCTCAAAATCTAAAAAAGTTAAAAAACCTGAAAGTTCCAAAACTTTAAATGGAGCTGCTGCTAAAAAAGGGTACACTAAAGGGACTTTCAAAGATATTAGATCACAAAACGGACTGGAAGCTCAAGTGATTTTTTTTTCAAAAATTATTTGTTGCAAATTTTATTTAAACGTGCTTCATTTTGCCAATCAATTGATACAAGGACGTAAAAACTTGTGGCACTTATTAATCTAAGGAAGTTGTATAAATAAATTAGGCTTGTAACTTTATTGTGGCGATTATCACTAACAACGATCTTTTATAACTTTTTTGAACTTAGCCAACGTCATATGTTTAATTAACTGTTCTAAGTAGCAAAATTAACAAAAAATTGTGCGATAAGCAAAAAAGAGACAAACTTTTCTAATATTTCATCGCTTCCGTCAAAGTAGCTGGGTCTCTTGGTTTTATTGTCTTCAAAATAGGTTCAAATGAATGACGTATTTCTGTGAATAGAAGAAAGTGCACGCTTTAATTGTACTAAGCTTATGTTTTATGTGGCATTCATTGCGGTCGTAATGGATAAATTGACACACGAAATGAGTTTAGTTTCCGTATGTAAACTGGTAGATAGGGAACTAGAAACGTTTGAATGTAGAAGGGCTTGTTGTAGCGAAACAAATGTCGATGTTTAGCTGCTACTATATTTTCTTGTTTTGTGATAATATTCGTTCTTTTCTGATAATGTTTGATTTATACATCTTTTTATTTCGTGATAATGTTTGATGTATACACAATATCTTTTTTTTGATTTTCTCTATATTTTGCAGGTAAAATCTCGAAAAAGAAAAAGTGATTCAAACGACTTCTCTAGACCGGCAAAGATTAAAAAGAACCAATCTAATGGGTCCTTGTTCGACTCAAGTAAAACTGAATCGGCTAAAAAAAGGAAAACGGCCAAAAAATTAAAAAGAAAAGCTGCAAGAGAGTTGAAAAAAATTAAACTTGGTGAATTATTGAGCAAAAAATAAAAATTTATTTAGTTTTTTCTGTTTCTTTTATTTTTTATTTTACTATTAACGCTCTTTAAATTAAAATTTTTCAAGAAGTTGTGCACGAGTTATTTTATTTAAAAAATATTTTTAATTATATAATTATAATCATACATGATTATAATTATATATGATGACGTATCATAATAATTATATATGATAATATATTAATTATGATGACGGAAATAACAATGGCCCTCAGTATCCGGCAGAAGAGGGTGCGAAGAATCTCCGGAGACCCAGTCCATGGGGTTGTGGTGCAAGGCCCTGTGGATGGTCTGGCTACTGGCACCCCACTCTATAGTGTAGCGGTGCAAGGCACTATAGATGGAAGGACTACTTGTAGACCAAAAGGTTGGAGGTTTGGTACCTGGAGTGTAGGCACGTTGACAGGAAGAAGTTTGGAAGTGGTGGAGGAGCTGCAGAGGAGAATGGTTGACATGGCTGCATTACAGGAGATCAGATGAAAGGGTGAGGGTACAAGGTTTGTGGGGGCTAAAGGTGGAAGATATAAGTTGTGGTGGAAGGGGGATGATGGTACGGGAGGAGTTGGTGTGATGGTAAGAGAAGAGTTGGTGGAGAAGGTGTTGGAAGTGAGGCGGAGAAGCAATGGTGTAATTGTGGTGGTGATGGTGTTTGGAAAAGTAATAGTGAGGGTGATATCAGGATATGCTCCGCAACAAAGTAGGAAGGAAGAGGAGAAGGATAGGTTTTATGATGATGTTTCTGACGAGATTGGGCAAGCGGGGTTGAATGAGTTTGTGGTGTTGTTGGGTGATTTGAATGGTCATGTGGGGGCGGATGCAGACGGATATGAAGGTGTACATGGGGGATGGGGATATGATAGACGGAATAAGGAAGGGCGTAGAGTGTTGGAGTTGGCGGATGCACATAGCATGGTGGTGGGGAATACTTGGTTCACAAGGGAACCAGCGCGATTGATTACTTATAGGTCAGGGGAACATAGATCGATGATAGACTATATATTGGTAAGGGCCAAACATAGGAAGTATGTGAAGAATGTGAAGGCGATACCTGGTATGTTGCAGCATAGTATGGTTGTGATGGATGTGACATCAAAAGAAATGGGGAGGAGGAAGAAGGATAAGTTTGTGGCAAAGAGAAAGACATGGAAGTTGCAGGATGCAGAGGCGAGAAGGCATTTGAAGTGAAGGTGGCTGAAAATTGGGAGAGTGGTAAGGATGGAGATGTTTGGGAGAGATACAGGGACTGTGTGTTGGCTACGGCAGATAAAGTATGTGGATGGACGAAAGGAAAGTGTAGGCATGGTGAGACGTGGTGGTGGGATGAAGATATAAGAAGGGTTTTGGAAGTCAAGAAGGAGAGGTTTAGGGTATGGAGAAGGGACATGACGAGGGAAGCGGAGTCTGAGTATAGGAAGGCTAAGAAGGTTGCAAAACAGGCAGTGGCAACTGCAATGACGAAAGCATCAGATAGGTTAATGAAGGAAATGTAATTTGATGTGAGTTCGAGGAAAATGTTCAAACCAGCAAAGCAGTCAATGAGGGATAGGAAAGATGTTATAGGGAATGGATGTGTTTGGGATGGATCTGGCAAGTTGTACATAGATGAGGAGGAAAAAGCTCAGGTGTGGAAAGCTCATATGGAAAGGTTGATGAATGAAGAGAATGAGTGGGATGGAGATGTGGAATCCGCGATCACACACGGAACTATAGAGAAGGTGACGATGGAGGAAGTAGAGAAAGCAGTTAGAGAAATGAAACTAGGTAAAGCGACAGGGATTTCGGAAGTGGCGGCAGAACATATAAAAGCGAGTGGGGTGATAGGAATTGAAGTTATGATGAGAATTGCTAACAGTATGTTTGATGATGAAGGTATACCTGAGGATTGGCGACACAGTGTGTTGGTGCCGTTGTATAAGGGCAAAGATGTGAAAGATTGTGGGTCATATAGGGGTGTGAAATTACTAGAGCACGGAATGAAGGTAGTGGAGAGGGTGCTTGAGAGGAGGTTGAGAAGTATGGTGACAGTTAATGAAATGCAGTGTGGGTTTATGCCTGGTAGGGGAACGGTGGATGCGTTGTTCATGGTGAGAATGTTGCAGGAGAATTATAGAAAGAAGAAACGAAGATTGTACATGTGTTTTGTGGATCTAGAAAACGCTTTTGATCGAGTACCGAGGAAGGTCATTGAATGGGCGTTGAGGAAGAAAGGAGTGAATGAGAGACTTGTTAAAGCTGTGATGCAGCTGTATGAAGGGGCAAAGACAAAGGTGAGGGTTGGAAGGGGGATGTCGGACTCTTTTAGTGTTAAGGTAGGAGTGCATCAAGGATCAGTGTTATCACCGTTTCTGTTTACAATTGTGATGGATGCTGTGTGTGGAAACATAATGGAGGGGTTGTTATTTGAGATTTTGTATGCAGATGATTTAGTCTTGATGGCTGATAGCATGGAAGAATTGCAGTTAAAATTTGACAGATAGAAAAGTGTTATTGAAAACAAAGGGTTAAAAGTTAATATTGGTAAGACGAAGGTAATGGTGAGTGGGGAAGTTGGGGAGCGAGTGATAAGTAAAATAGACCCCTGTGGGGTATGTGACAGGAGAGTGAAGGCTAACTCGGTATTGTGTATAGAATGTCAGAAATAGGTGCATAAGAGATGTAGTGGTGTGAGGGGGGCACTGAAAAAGGTGGAAGGCACGTTCAAA